GTTACAACATGGCAACTCAGTATTTGCTCCGACTGAAACCTGCTTTCTTCATAGGTTTATAGTCTCTTTGTGATGCCTCACACACCACATTATCAATACTTTTAATCGTTACAGTGATTACCTTATTACAGTTTTTATTTTATTTTTGGCGTTCGTTTTTCAATTCTTTATTTGCTTTGTTTTTTAATATTTTCTTGGCAAATTTTGAAAACCCCAGAAAACAGTCAACATTAAATTCTACTATATAGAGGTCAAACCACACACGTTTGATCAGCTGTATTTAACATACAGTTGTAGAAAAATAAAAACGCAAATATGACCTGTTATTTGGATACAATAATCTTTTTTTTTTAATCAGTTACGAATCTTTAAGAGAAGAAAATTAATCTTAAACGGCGTCTCTACATGAAAAAAGAAAAAAAAAATGTATTTTCTGTGATTCCTGGATGCAAAGCCGTTTGACAGTGCCAAAGTTTGTCCCGCTCACTCTGATCTATCATTCAAGATAACTTGGGTGCGAATGTATCACAATATACTGCTACCCAAGGACAGCAAAAACCCAAGAGATATTAGCTATGTCTCTCTCTCGATATGCTGATCGGAAGACCAGCTTGAAGTGCATTATTTGTCTAGGGTTAATTATAACATAACTGAAAAGGTGTGATAACTTTTCACCCAACTCCTTGTATATGGTCTTAGCATAAAAACGATTTTCGTCACAGAGTTTCTAACTATATGACTTATATTTTACTTTCTGTAAAGGCCTATAAATGGCATATGAATTAATAAGTCCATTAGTCAACTTATAGCGATATGTAACACTCACTGAAATCGTAATTATAAAACACATACACGACGTTGCAAGGATAACACAAGGTAGTTTTAAAGTATTCTCTAGTTTTAGAAACACGGTCTGTAAGGCATTTTCAAACTATCAAACACAAGATCTGTAAAATATCTTTCCAATTTCGAAACCAGCAGGCATAAGGTCTGTAAGGCATCTTTCAAAGTGGTAGACCACCGGACACAAGGTCTTTAAGGCATCTTTCAAAGTGGTAGACCACCGGACACAAGGTCTTTAAGGCATCTTTCAAAGTGGTAGACTACCGGACACAAGGTCTGTAAGGCATCTTTCAAAGTGGTAGACCACCGGACACAAGGTCTGTAAGGCATCTTTCAAAGTGGTAGACCACCGGACACAAGGTCTGTAAGGCATCTTTCAAAGTGGTAGACCACCGAACACAAGGTCTGTAAGGCATCTTTCAAAGTGGTAGACCACCGAACACAAGGTCTGTAAGGCATCTTTCAAACTGATAAACCATCAGACACAAGGTCTGTAAGGCATCTTTCAAATTGGTAAACCACCAGAAACAAGGTCTATGAGACATGGTCTGTAAGGCATCTTTCAAACTGGTAAATCATCAGACACGAGGTCTGTAAGGCATCTATCAAATTGGTAAACCATCAGACACGAGGTCTATGAGACATGTTTTAAACTTGTAAACCATCAGACACGAGGTCTATGAGACATGTTTGAAACTTGTAAACCATCAGACACAAGGTCTGCAAAATATTTTTCACAGTTGTCAACTACAAGGTTAACATATCTTAATGCCAATCAATAATCAGACACAAGGTTTTTGTAATAAATATCGTTCATATATACAGTATATACTGATTAGCTTTTCAACAGGCACATTTGTTGACCCTCAAACAATAACAAGGTACACGATTGTGTGAACACTAAACTGCATCCCCAAAAGCGTTTTTACCCTTTGAACTTTATCCAGACTTTGGTAAGTTTGTATTTTATTAAGCAAAAAAGCTACACAATGAGTTATCTGTTTTTGCCTTCCCCGGTTACTTAAACCTAATTTTTAGCGTTATAAATACCCAGCCTTCCCGCCAAGTCACCATGGAGCCCAGACTTTATTTTCAAAAAAAAAAAAAAATACTTGGAACGATCTACAGTATTCCACACAAGTAATAGATAGTGGGTAAATCGGGAAAAATATTTAAGGAAATACACACTAAATATATACAACTGAGAAAGTAATATTACCCACCCATCGATAATACCATTAAATTCAAATAGATAAGTAACAAAATATAATTACGTTTTCCTTTATTACGCTGATACTACATAAAAAAACAAAAATCTCAAGGCGCTTCCCAAAATACTGAAATTTTGGGCAGTAGGAAGAAAGTCAAAGTCTTGTACACCATGTCGAATTTGTTTGTTGTATTTTGCGCATGCTTTTTAATGATTACACTGAAACAACGAACTGTATAGCTCACATAGCAATGGATATATGATATAAAAGTACTGCGTTTTTGGTACACTGTCTTTAAAGTAATTACTTAAATGAAACATCAGCTTAAAAACAATTCTAAGTTCAGTTTGAGGGCAAATCTTACAATTCAAACATTTTCAATCTTTTTGCTTTAATATTCAACATGTTTCCTTGTATACCGCAAAACACAACAAATTATCCATTTAGCTGAGAACATTTATCAAACCTTTAGATACTTCTTAATAGTTTTATCATTCAAATAAAGTTTGCTTGTTTGTTAAATTTCGTGAAACCTACTCGAAGGCTATCTGTACTAGTTTTCCTAATTTCGAAGTGATAGATTAAACGGAAAGTAGCTACTCAACAACACTTGCCGCCAACTCTTGAGTTACTCTTTACCAATGAATAGTGGGATTGACCATTACCTTACAAAGCCCCCACGCCTGAAATGGCGAGCATATGCGGTGATGGGATTCGAACCCACGACCCGTACGTTTCGAGTACCCTAAAAACAGGCCATTCCAGGCTTATATTAAACAAAGAGAAAAACTATTTTTATAAGTTTTGTTTATCCAGTGATTGAGTAGAATAATAATTAGTCTGCTTCGTCTACACTACTAAAGTTATAAATAAAGGAAAAAAAAAAAATTTTCATTATGTTCTGTCTAGGAATAGATTGATGCACGTATATATTACAACGTACTAGTACTAAAATTAAAAAACATCTAAAAAGCTATAATATTTTCATTCATACTAAACCTCGAGCACGTTCTCTTAAAATTATCTAAGCCAGTGGATCAGCGGTAAGTTTACAAACTTACAACGCTAAAATCCAGGGTTCCATTCCTTGCGATGGGCAGAGTACAGGTTGCCTATTGCGTATAAATAAGTAGAAAAATGCGAAAATGATAAAATATAGAAATCATACTTTTGGAGATAAACCACCTTAAAAACTTGGTTGCATTATATTTTCTTGGCGACACTTCGAGCAAACACTTTTTTTCAAGCCTGTTGGTTAATGACAACTACAGGAACAGCTTTGCGCTAAACTAAATTCAAAAACACTCTGAATGTGCTGCTATCTGTTGAAAATTATTCATATCAAGACTGGAACTAATTCTGCTAAACTCTGAATATATTGTCATGTGTTGAAAATAATTCATACCAAGCCTGGAAACAAGACCTATTATCTACAATAGTTTTGAAAGTAGAGCCATCTGTTGAGGATAATTTAATCTAAATCTGGAAACAAGACCTACAACACTGCAACCGTTTTTAATATACTGCCTTCTGTTAAGTCTTTTCAACTAAAACTAACCATGACTATATTTTAAATGACTACTTCCTAAACACAATGAATGCAGCCCCAGAATATAAAACAAATCATTTCACTTCATCAGAAACAAAAATTCTCACTCAAATAATCCTTTTTATCTCCTCTTAATAATTCCTTAATCAGTTTATTTTAAACCAAGTCTAAACACAATGCAGGCCTAGGATACAATAAGTACATTTCACTTTATCATAAATCTATATTAATTTTCTCACTCCGAAAATTCTGTTAATTTCCTCTTAATAACACTAATCAGCCTACTTTAAACCAAGGCTCAATTATAAAAAAAAGGAAGGATGAATGTAAAACCTACCAGTTTATATGTGGATATGTATGTTACCAAGAAAGTAGTAATGATACAGTATATAATAACTTACCTTTCAATTCTCTAAAAGGCACAAACTGCAAACATTTAAACCCATTAAAAGAAGGTAAAACTAGGCAAAATAATTTTAACACCTGCCACACAAGCCAGCCCAGCATCTTTTAGTACCGAGCCTAGGATGGTCAATAGAGGGTCATTCAGGCAACCCTGATTTAGGGTTATTTTGATAGATCTCTACGAATGAAGCTTTGTACAACTTCTAAAATGAAAATAAACTAAATATTAATGAAAGTATGACACGATGAAATCTAGATAGATTACACTATGATGGTATCATACTGGGAATTATACCATCACTCTTCATTGCAGAAATGGCATTTTTAATTTGAGAATCACTAGGGACACAATCTTGTATTGCACATGCATCTCTGGGCTTTCCTGTGCCATTAGTTTTACAAAATACTGAAACCAATGATTTCGTTTTTGTTTTTTTTTAATGCATGATTCTAATCCCCCATTATGAAGATGATACTATTGTATCTGTTCTTTTTTTTTTTTTTTTTTTATGTTTCACTGCTAATGCAGTAATCAATTACAATCCTCAGATTCAACTGGTATGTCAAATTGATTGGAATATCTTCAAATAAGTTCTTTCCTCATCCAATCTGGACGGACAGTTTAGCTTAATCGTTATGCTTAAACCATCACATTCACAACCCCATCTAGAATGTTTTAAGCATGTTTCATTGCTATATCATTTTACTTTACATTTACAAACTAACTTCTCCATGTTGGCTCTCATTGTCTCGGGTAAGATCACGGTCTGGTCCAGCTACCTAAACCTCAAAAATATTACCAAATATTCTTTTTTTTTTTTTTCTAATCAAAAGAACTCAAACCTCTCCAAACTGACTCATTTTTTGGATCTCATCAAGATGCCGAGCTGGTTCACGTGGCAGGTGTTAAAGTATGTGTTGTTCAAAAACTAATGTTATTTATGTGAACCAAACTGTATATAGATGCACATATAAGAGAACTTTAGACTTACAGTGACAGTGTAAACTCCACCTGGAACAGGTTGACCACCAAACAAAATGCAGATTGTATACTGTCCAGTCTCTTTCAGAGTGTAGTAAACAGAAAAAGTTCCATCTCCGTTATCTTCTACTTCAATGTCTACATCACTTCTTATCTCCGAGATACTTAAGATCTGGCAAGTGATTGCTCCATTCCCTGCATGTTCTGTATTTACAGTAATACAATGTTCTTCCCCAATGATTAGGCTTTCCAGCTTGCCCTCTGGTGGGAAAACAAGTAAACATATTAGTTAATGAAATGATCAATATATAGTTGGGCATAAAAATCAGATGATAAAATATTGGTTCTTAAAATGATCAACCACTGGGAGAAACATATGTTCAAACAAGAAAACTTTGTTCATGAAATGAACAAGCAGATGGAGAAACAAAATTGTGTACTAAAACATCAGTTAACAACTTCAAAACTTTCTGGTGGGAAAATTTTAGATGACTTAATGAAAACATCCCATCTGTTCTCCCTGTATATACATATATATATATATATATACACACATATATCTCCCGGACTTGAACAGTATGTAACAATTGAAAGATTCTACACATAATACTTGGACACAGTATATATATATATATATATATATATATA